GAGTCAGTGTCCAAGTAGACGCCATGTGGGGTAGAGCAGGAGAAGGAAGAAAGACGATGCCAGATAGATTTCATACCAGGAATTGATCAGATAACTAGTGTATTGAAAATGCAACAGTCAGGTTTTCTACTGTCAGATAAGTAAAAGAAGGGTACTAAACTAAAATGATCCATGAAGTGCTGTGTAAGGTCCATAGCCTGGATGTGAACTTACAGATTTCTGAATAGATGCAAGCATAGATGTGTGTATGTGTCTGTGTAGTTTTGTAGACACACAGGCATTTCATATGCTTCATGGTTGTCCCTGTATTTATATGAATACTTGTATCTGTCTATCTGGACAGATGTATATCTTCAACGCTGTCCACTGCCTGGTGCTAAGAGTATGGAAATCCCAGCAGCAGTGAACATAACTGATGCCTAGACTTTCTTTCAAATGTATTTTTCACTGACTGATAGGGATGGGAAAATTTTATTATTGAATCATGGGTTAGAGATGCAGCCCAGTTGGCTAGCATACTTAAAACATATGATAATGGGTTTCAAGCCCATTATCATGAAAACTGGGTATGGTCACATTTGAAATACTAACACTTAGGAGGTAAAGGCCAGAGGATCAGAAATTTAAGGTCATCCTTTACAAATTTGAGGGCCAGCAAGAACCACATGAGACTATTTCTAAGCAACAAAAATTGATAATAATAATAATAATAATAATAATATAATATAATAATAATAACATTTTTTTACCCATTTAACAAAATAAGAAACTATGACACCATGAAGCTACAAATGAACACATGAATACATTGAAACTGTGATGAGAAACAGAGGACTTCAAAATACTTTCTCACAAAGCACATTTATTAACTGTGGGGTAGAATCACTTTACAGTGGAGAAGCTTGACAGACATGACCTTAGTCAAGTGATGAAAAGGAACATTAGCAATAACATAACAAACCAAAATGTGAGCTGCCCTATAGGGCACAACTGAAAGAGCACAACACCACTTCTGTGTCATTTCTGCTGAAGACGAATAACCTCGGTTTATTCCTGAAGAAACATCAATGTGACCCCAACAAGGAACATTCTACAAAATTACAGCGTGAGGCCTGCAAAAGGCCACAGAGTGAAGAACTGTCCAGAATGAAGACCACTCCGGAGACAGGACAACTAAACACCAAGGGAAGTGTCCAGAAGAACCTTCAGCTCTTACATTTACCCTAGAAGCATGGGGCAGGTCTTGAATGCAGACTGAAGACTAGAGTGGAGTGGCATATCAATGCTAATTTCCTGATACTGGCGACTGTCAAGTCATCGGTCTTCTTTTCCATAGGAGAGGGGTACCATTCTGTGGGGCGAGGAGGTCAATGTGGAAACTAATTCTGGAGCAGAACACTCTTTCTCCTGTGCTTCTGACTCTTGTAAGTTTGTGGATGTTTCAAAATTTACGAGGGAAAGAGCAAGATGAAGGGAGCGACTATTTTCACACAAGGTCATTGTAGAGCAAGGGCTAATTTGCACATGGTAGCTAAGGTCATTAAAAATACAGAGAGGTTATGTTTAGTCCATTGCTGAACACAAATGTTTATCCTTTACCTGGTATTATTGCTAACATTTTTATTATTATTATTATTATTATTATTATTTTTTAGCAAGCGGCTCCTCTTCAAGCCAGTTTCTATTTCACAGAAATTTTGTTCTTCAAGAATTCATTGTTCAGTGCACAGTAGTGTTGGGACGGGGATCCTTCAAGGAACAGAGGGAAGCACCCTTTTCCCCACACAGAAAGATACATCTAACTCAGGGAATGCCCTCATGAAGCCAGCCAGGCGGCAGAGGACACCGTACTTGATGCAAATTACAAATTCAGTACTGTACTGTACGTAGGCAGCATTGCGCATGCTTGACATAGTAAGTATATGATGACACACCACAGCTCACTTTTAAAGTAGACTGTGAGTAGGCAACTACAATTTAAAACTATGAGGCAACCTTATTTCACTTAAAGTTTCTCTTTTTTTTTTAATGTTGCGTACACGTTGGCTGTTCCAGAAGCCTTGGGCATGCTGATGGGAATGTGGGGGAAATGGTCCAGCTCAGAGCAAGCTAATGCTGTTTGCACTTCAGAATCCTTCCAGCTAGCTCCTATTTGAAAGAAGGCTATCTTAAAGTGCCAGGGCTGGCTTCCAGGCTGCACAGGATAGGGAACTCTTTCTTGGCCCCTCTGCACTTTTTCATAGATCCTAGACCTAAGCATCTGGGTGTCCCAGGCTCCAGGGTATCTCCTAATCGTGGGATTCCTGCATGATCTGGAGTGCTGCTCCAGGCTCATAGAGACCATTCCAACCTGTCAAACCCAGAGGAAGCATGGCTGCAGTCTGGCAGCCACCTCCAGAAACTGCAGCTTTCAGGCTAAATAGATAATTCATTCTGCCCAGGGAGAAGGTTTGCCCGTTAACCAAGGCTTGCTTTTGCTTGCTTGCAACTTTAATATGATCTACAAATAGAGCTAAGCTTGTGATTAACAGCACCATGAAAATGTAGATAATGGTAGAAAACACAGCAGCAAAATTACTTTGCTTTTGATTCTGAGCAATGTTTACTACCACGAATAGCAACACGGCAAACTATATTAACTGAATTTAGAAAATAAGATGTCTTTGGAGGAAAAAAAAATTACTTTGGCAGGGAGAATATGGGAAAATCATATTCCACTAATTTTTCTGAAGAGCAGAGGGGGGGGGGGGAAACGTAGACAGTTTTCTATTTGGAGTGGCCGTGGCCTTCCAGGTAGTCATGTGGAAGAATCTTTAAAGGGAAACTAGAAAACAAGAGGAGGACTCTAAACCCTCAGGCAGTGGCCAACTGGAGTCGAGAAGTTGGAAGAGAACATTGTGTTGGTGCGAATGTGTGAGTTCAATCAGTACACACATCAACATCTCAGAAACAAGGCCTTCTGCTGTGGAGCATCTCCCTCTACTGTCTGACAGTAGAAGGAATGCTGATCCCCATGGAAAGAAAACAAATCTGAAAAACCGAGGCCAGATGGTGGCCATTGGCTGCCGTGTGCTTTACAGATTAATGTAAAATTGGCATTTCTGTAGAAATGTTGTGGATGTGTTTGCTCTTCTGGCTAGAACAGAGCTAGAAGCAGGTGCAGAGAGAGGGCGATTCTATCCCAGTGAGGTCTGTTTGTTGAGCACACATGAGCTGGGTCTTCTGTAAGAAGGGGTTTGCCTTAAAACTCAGCAATCCTAGACAGTCTGCTGAGATTCTGAGCAACTGACGGCCAGTGATTCAGGCAAACAAAACACAAGCAGACGATGTCTGTAGTCAAATCAAGTCAGATGCTCTGTGGTCTAGCAAATAGGATTTCTCAGTTCAAGTTTCAGGGGAACTGGTCGCTGCAGTTCCTCCACGGGTGCCACGTTCCAAATTACGCGGTCACACCTGTAACAAAACAGTCAACATGAGTTGAATTCCCTTCAACAAGCTTTCTGCTTTTCCCTGTGGTGCGCGCGCACACACACACACACACATCTTTATGCTTCAAGATGCAGCAGCAGGTCCTCATTTCCAATGAAATGATCATCCCACTCTTGACGTGAGGCCTGGGCATTATCTGAACTTTGAACGGTCCATCACTAGTTCTAGTTGTAGCTAGATAAGATTCATCTGCCTGTGCTGACCACTGCAGCACCATAGTCCCATCATGCCTCACACTGCCTTCCCACCTCCCTCCGGCTTTCTCTGACCACTTGAGAACAGATTTATTCTGAGCCCAGTTCAAAGATGAGGGAGAGTTAATGCCCCTGCAGGCGGTGCCCAACTGGTGGAAATGAAACCAGGGCTTAAATGTCCAATTTCCCATCCTTCACAAAAATTATAAGAGGCCTCTGTATGCTTAACAGAAGTCCCATTAAGTCAGACCCTGACAATCTATGTCTGCCACTGAGAGGTAGCAAAAAAATGGTGGCTTCTTTTCCCACTCCACATCATTTAACCCATGGGCACCAGATGTGTAAGACTTCTGCCATGGATGTTTCTAGCTCCCTGGATATTATCAGATTATCAGATATCATCCCTCTAACTCCCAGCGGACTAGGCAAAAGCTCCACCCAGATTCCCAAAGCCACCCAGGTGTCCCAAACTTGAAAATTTTTCCAAACAACTAAGTATCTTCATGAATGCCCACCTCCACACAACCTCAACCTAAATCTCTCCTACCAGCCTCATCTAAAAGTTCCGTCACCCTCACAGTCCCTCACTCAGAAGCTTGCACTTAAAGGATATTCAATAAATGATGACTATCTGATTTCACGAGCTCTACAACATAGAAGATCCAGATACAGCCCACATTTTTTAATATTAGTCAAAAATTACCTTGAAACAACCGTGGCCCTGTGAATCTTCTTCTCTTGCTGGACCTAAGACCTCACGCATGGTAGGCAAGTGCTCTACCAGTGAGCTGCGCACATCACCAGGCCTTCTTTGTAATTTTTTTTATTTGGAGACAAGGACTCATCCAGTGACTTACCGTGGCCTGGACCAATTCATTCTGTAGCCCAGACTAGGCTTGAACTGCTATCCTTTTACTACAACCTGTTTTTCCCCCACACCCCTTTTCTCTTTTTCTCACTCTGTTAATTTTGAGACAGGATCTCATATATTACAGACTGGTCTCCAACTCCCCATGTAGCTGAAAGTGACTTTGCCCTTCTGACCCTCTTTCCTCTAACTCCTGAGTACCAGGATTTCAGGTGTGTGACTCCCTACCCATTTGCATGGCGCTGGAATTGAATCCAGGGCTTCATATATGTTAGACAGACCAACTGAACTATTACCTTGACCCCAACAATTTATTTTCAGTAGCAGTTTACAAACATTACTTTAAAAAGAATAATATATATATACATAATATTTTTACATAAAATACTAAAATTATCTTTAGGGAACTTTTTTCTTTTAAAATAAAATTAAACAAATTAATTCCAGTCTTAACATGAAGAGTACTCCTCCCTCCCCAGACCCCTAAGGTAAGATGTACCTGCAAGTCTAGACTTCTTGGCCGTGTTGACTGCTGCCATGAACATGTATTCACTGTTAGGGTCATGCACACTGGATCCATACTTCTGAAAGAGATAGTTAGAAACATCATTTGTTGTCTGCTTTTTCCCAACCTCATGCTTGTTTTCTGTTTTTTGTCAAAGTGGCTTATATAATTATGGACTCAACGCACTCGAACAATACACAAAAAGCTGTTAATAAAAAGTTCTTTCTGAACTGCTGAGATGGCTCAGCGGATAAAAAGCACCTGCTGCCGAGCCTGATGACCTAAGTTCAATTCCTAGGATCTAAATTGGTAGGAGAGAATAGACTCATGTGCCTATATGTGTGCATGCGTGTGTGCATGCGCACACACTCACACACATACAGAGAGTCTGGTCAACTTATATGCTGTCATATATATGTAATGTGCAAAATGGAGAAAGTTCTTTGAGAATCTGCTGTGTGAACAGCTAAAATGTATGTTCCAAGAGATAGTTTCTTGTACCTACTGTACTGCCCTGAACAGCTTTTCAGACATTTTTTTCAAAAGCAAGGAGTTTGAGGAGGCAGCGTGTAAAAAGGCAGTTTCCTTCTTAGCTCCTATTGGTACCTTGTAAGATAATCTCACTGTTTCAACTTTCCAAGTAAGAGAAACTTACAACTAATTGTTTCAGCTTTGTCCTGACTCTTAGTAAGTTTAGATTCAAATCTTAATCCAACATTTAACAATTTTTAAAAATCAAAGGCACCTATTTTTTTATATTTTTAACTTTCCTTACTAACCTTTATCTTTGCCTGGCCTCAATTTTCTATCTTTTTATGAAAAAAAAAATAGTTATAAGAACATGTCTCTGTGACCCTCTGAGTACTTTTGGGAACGGAATGCGCTATTGAAAAACAAACAAATCATCTCTGTTCCAAGTTATTCGTTTAATTAGCGTGTATAGGAAATGAAATTGTCTACCTTTGCCCAGGTTACTCTGAGAAGAGCAGCAGACAGTCTTTGATGGGTAAATAACCACCCAGGGAAGAGAGTATAAGGAAAAGTAGATAGAACTCACTTACCCTTTTTGCAAACCAGAAGATAAATATGCATCCAAATACGTATAGCACAACAAAAGCTGCACAGCCTATGGGCAGCCAGAGCTTCAGCTGGCAGCAAAGCTGTGAATCTAGGTTGGAGAGGAGAAAAATACGTTGGTGAAAGACCCAGAAACTCCTGTCCTCGTTCAGTGCTGAAGAGAGAATGCTTCTATAAAATGTAAAGAAGCTTTTTTTTTTTTAAATCAAGGAAGGCTTTTCTTCCATACAATGATGAAATCCAGTAGATGGCAACCTACAGCACCTCCACATTAAAGCAAGGACCCCGAAATTCAAACTGGAAAGACTATGCTAGTGTGTTTACAAATGTGACTAATAGACAGCGCCTTTTCATCTGCATCTTTCACAAGAGCGAGGAGAAAATGCATGGTCTAAAACTGATTCTCAGTCGTCTCACCTCATTCTCCAGACCACTTCCTACCTTAGGGGAGTAGAGGTAATAGCCACTGAGCCGTGAAAATATTTGAAAGATTATGCCCTAATTCTAACTCAACAGTATATATGTGACAAAATCACTTATTCCCGATAAATATCAACTACTATTAACATCATGTCATTCCTTGCATATTTCATCCAAGATCACTTGATGTCAACTACAACTAAAGGAATTGTAACACAAAAGATACTTATTTGTTTAGTCATTTCCGTTAGCGAGAAAAGTCTTGGAATGAGCTTACACACTTTTAAGCACCAAGAATAAAAGCAGCCAATGTCTTACCATAAATATGCAAGTATTCTCTACTCAGGATCTTGTTTTGAAAAGGAGGTGGGTCAAAAATGGACAGGTTGCATGAGTAATAGCCGCCCTGAGAACCGTCCAGGTTGTTAAGGAAGAAAGAGACACTGTGGTTGGACAGCTGATATGGACAAAACTTCGGGTTCTTGATGGACACCACATTTCCGCTTCCCTTGGTCTTGGTGAGGTCACAGAGGACGTCTCTGTCTTTCAGCAACTGCATTTTTAATTGCTGCACAGTCTCTGGATATTTGCAAGAAATCCATACACCTCCCTTGTGAAATGAAAACATCCTGTGATTGGCCAAGTCGTTGATTTCTCCTGGATCAAAAGAGAGAGCAAAGCAAGAGTGGTATGCTGTGAACACATTGCCTTAATAATTGTATTTAAGTGGGAAAGCAATTTTCTTTTTATAAAGTTAGCCCTGTTTAAACCAAAAGGAAGGATTTCATAGCCAAGCACATGAAACCAGAGCGCAACAAGACATAACTATGCCTTAGAAAACACGTAGCCAGAAGAACCAGGCTTTTCATCTGACAGATAGCATATAAAATGGTACATGTCAAGTGACATGATTAGATGGTATGACTCAAACACAGAGAGTCTCCACCCTTTCATAGGTTCCACACTGGAGGCCAGACAGTAAACAGAAAAATGAGTGGTGATGAGCTATAATTTGTGCTAGGGACAAAGTACTATCAGGGAAAGTGCGGTGGGGTTGGATGGTGTGTTCTAATATTCACCGGAGGGTCAGAAAAATGCCCCCTTGAAGAAGTGAGTTTTAAAACTGAAATTAAAACATAATTATTCCTTTAGCTGAACAAGGAAAGGCTTGCAGAATGATATTATGGAGAGAAAAAAAAAAAAAAAACGTTTGAAAGTATATAAAATTTACTGGAGCTAAAATTAAATGATAATATATAAATAACATTATATCCTCCAACTGAAAGGTTAAGAAAGAGATCAATTATCTTGACACAGTAATGTGTCTGCTATGAATTCCATTCACTAAGAACCAAATCAGCCCAACGCTCAAGGGGAGGCCCCGGGTTTCTGCTCGCTTTTCCACTTGTTAAGATCACGGGAACTGGGGTTGGTTTGTGAGTTACACGGAGACTGCGCGAGGAACACACTGAAATGGTTTTAGCATGGTTGCACATTGTGTACTGTCTTATAGGTTCAAACTGTTCTGATTACTTCATTTATTTTAAATGATACGTTGTTGTTTTTTAATGAGAGTCTTACGCTAAAAACGTGTGGAAAATTTATCAGCAGGGTAGCTTTTACTTAAGTTGTGAAACATCTTTTTCCCCTTAAGAACATCAAACAATATAAAATAAGTTAAAGAAAAAAGTCATCCCTAGTAAAACAGAAAATATTTCTATATTTTTTTAATTTTGACTTTTAGTGGTATTTTTATAGAAAATATCACCATGCTCATTTTTGATGATTAAATAATGAGCCATTTGTGCTGATCTTTCATGACTTATTAAAATTAAGCACTAAAGTGATAACAGGACTATTTTCAGACTATTTTATAAACACTATGGTATTTGACCAATACATTTTGCCATATTACTTCCTTAAAGAAGTAACTTCCATTAAGATTGGCATCATGCAAGATAAACCATTGGCTTGTGCCTGGTCCCTTGACTTCTTTCAAGCTTCATCACAATTGCTTATTTGTTTGTTTACTTATTTATTTACCTACTTATTTATTTCAGTATCTCTAACCCTTAACATATTCCTCTCATATTTCTAGGAAACACTGTCAAATTAGAGGTTTGGCTGTAAAAAATAAACACAAGTGTTCCAGCTTCTAGTTATGTCAATACACCTCATTCAACAACAAAACAACAGTAAATAGTAAACAAAACACCTGGAGGCAGTATTTCCTGGATTAAGTCATTGACCTGAAGAGAAAAAAATGCAGGTTAAACAGAAACAAGGCCCTGAGGCGAAAGGTCACGAGGTAAAATTCAGAGAGGATCTTGCTTTTCCTTTTCTCCCAGGTTCAAACTTCTGTTTTATGCTTTATCTCCCCAGAGTTGGCAAAACGAGGACGCTAGGAGACATTTTCTTCGATAAGATGCTTTCCCAAGAATGCTGGAAGGATCCTTGGAATAAAAAGGAACCTGAGTAAACTGGCCCTCAGGTTGAGTGTGGCCCAGAAAAAAAAATCTCAGTCCTGGGATTTTTAACTAAAGTAATCTCAGACTGCCATTACCCTAGACTTTAAAAGTAAAAATGCAACCCAGGTAAAAAAAAGATGCATATATTTCTGTAGACTCACCATTACAAAATATAATGCAAGTGTGGTAAGAAGAAAAGAAATGAAGCACAAGGCAAAAGGCAACAGCAGAATTATCAGATCATACAAGCAGACACAAGCATCTCGTGACACTCACCTTTGAATTGTCAGGTGCCCCCAAATGGAACAGTTTGTGTTCATTGTGTTTAGAGAAATGAAAGACAAACTTGTAATAATATCTTCAAGGAAAAGGAAAAATTTTAAGTCAGCTAATTTGAAAAAGAAATCATTACAACTGGCCCAAAAAATGCACTAAAAGATTAAAAATCCAGTGAGTAGGTTTAAAAAGTATATTAGGCAAGGCTGTATAGAGAATAGGTTAACTTAAAAACAGGTAAAAAGAAGAAAGAAAGAAAGAAAGAAAGAAAGAGAGAGAGAGAGAGAGAGAGAAAGAAAGAAAGAAAGAAAGAAAGAAAGAAAGAAAGAAAGAAAGAAAGGAGGGAGGGAGGGAGGGAGGGAGGGTGGGAGGGAGGGAGGGAGGGAGGAAGAAAGAAAGAAAGAAAGAAAGAAAGAAAGAAAGAAAGAAAGAAAGAAAGAAAGAAAGAAAGAAAGAAAGAAAGAAAGAAAGAAAATAACCAGAATTCAGACATAGGGCAAAAGATTCAAGAACGTCAGCCAATCATAAATATTTTAAAAATATATACAGCCGGACATAGAACCATCTAGGAAGAGCGTCCAAAACAGCGGCGCTGACTGCCTTCAAAATGAAGCAAGTATTAAGACTGAGCAAGGATGTCCCAGCATCAGTTTTGCAAGCTGTACGTGAGGCAGCAGGGCTAGAAATCGCATCATCAGTGTGCGGAAAGAAGGCACCTGTGTGCCCCGAACCCATTAGGAAGATAGGAGAGCTACGTGCAATTTTTGATAAGTGAATGTCCACAAATCATGACTTCTCACATAATCACTAAGAGAGCAGAGGTGCTAAAAAAAAAATAATAATAATAACCCGAACGAACAGACGCCGCAAAGCATTAGGGGTGGCCTTGATGAGTTTGAATCTGGAAAGCAGTCAGGTGTCTGAGCGCTAACCATGTTTTATTCCTGGCTTGTGCTAAGTGCGGGGGTGAGGGAACCTATGTGCTCTCCGTTCGTTCGAAGCGTTTGTTTATTATTTCTTCAGGCCTCTCGTGGGTGTTTTGTCTTACAATATAGACGTCTAAAAGTATGCAGAAGGAAAGTGATGCTGCTTTCACTTGTTTTGCTAGAGGGGAAAGTGTGAGTCCCAGGCAAAGGGTGCAGCTGCACGGCCTTCCAGCGAAGGGCGCTCTGCTTGGGGACTTTTGCCTGTGCGTGCGTGTTGCCCTCCTGCCGAATCGATGCCTGTGTCTCTGCTGTCTGCTGCAGAAGATAAGATCAGCCGACTGCCTCTCAGTTCCTTTAGCACCGTGCAGAGAAAATTTCCCAGGGACTTCAGAAAGGCAGCAAGCAAACTCCGGAGAGGTCCTGGGGCGGAACTGCGTACAGCCAGGGTCTACGGCAGCTGGTCAGTGGTTTCCCCTTTGCCCACTCCGCTACTGACCCAGAGCACAGCACGAGGTTAAAAGTAACTGTGAAGCGCTAAGCAGTGTTGCTCAAGGAACTGAAGAGCAAATTCTGCCTCTGTCTCATGACTGGCATATGGGTCTGTGCCTAGAGTACTCCCTGAGGACTTCTCTCTTTCCATCTGTGAAATAAGAAGTGAAAATGATGTCCTAAAGGAAAGGGTTCCTTCTCCGGAGACGGCTCAGTGGGTACAGTGCGTATTGATAAGTGAAGACTCGGGTTTGGACCACACCCCCGAGTTGATACCGAAAGGCTGGCGTGGCACTGTGCGTTGGTGACATCAGTTCTGCAGGGTGGAAACAGGCAGAGCCCAGGGACTTGCAAACACGGGCCAAAAAGTTGAGCCTGGCTTCAGAGAGAGACCCTGTCTCAAAACCAAGGTCAAAAGTGATTGAGGAAGTTGCCTCATGTTGACTTCTGACCTCCACACACGCATACACACACGTGTATTCATGTACTCATGTGCGCAAGCACACACATACACACACAGAGAGACAGACAGAGAGAGGTTCTTTCCAACACTTGCTTTCTGTAAGTTAAGGGTCAAAACACATCTAGAGGAGACCACAGACAACCGAAAGAGACACAGCTTCCCTGTCAGGTGAATTCCCATCAAAGACGCCATGCTTCCCACAGTCTTCTCTTAAATAAGAACATTTCAAGAATTCAGGAACATGTTAAAGCGAGTGAAACTATCTCGTCTGCAGAAGTTGGTGGGATGGCTAGGGAGGGTTCCATTTTACTTTCATGCAGAACCAAGATGGGTGGCAATAAAATCAGTTGGGGCCACCAGGGTGTCACCTATCAGGCGGTCATATAAATATTCATTTCACTGATCATCCTTAGCCTAAAAAGGTCCTGGCTCACCGTTTCATTATTGAATGTGGCAATAAGAAGGATGACTCATGTCTCCACATTTTCTGTTTAAGCTTTAAGATTTCAGTCTAAAAAAAAAAAAAAAAAAAAATTGGCAACTGTAAACCTGCAGTTTGAATGTTTGTAACCACAGTTGGCTAAACATTTACCTCAAAATTATTTTGTACCAATAGAACAGATATGCTGAATCGCAAATTCTTCTTGGCTGTTAGCCGAATTTGGTACAATAATATAAAAGAGAGAGCAGAACAATATGGTGTGAAGAGATGGCATGTAAGTATGAGGACATGAGTTCATATCCCCAGCATTCCTAGACAAAGCTGAACATGCCAGCCTGCATGTATAACCCCAGCACTGCACATGGGCAGAGAGAAAGTCTTGGAACTCACTGAGCAATTGATGCAGTCAAACACAGTTAATCTAGCCAAATCAGTAAGCTTCAGGGTCAGTGAGAGCTTCAAAAGCTAAGGAGGAAAGCACCTGTCATTAATGTCTAGCCTCAACATGCACGCACACACACACACACACACACACACACACATACAAAATGGGGGAGAAAAACAAAAGAAGGGGGGGAAAGAACCTGTCATAA